CCCACGTAAGAACAGTTTCTGAGGGTACATTTACCCACCAGCAATGCAGCCAGAGGACGCTACAGCCAGAGATGGCCCTACAGCGAGGCGGGACACTACAGTCAGAGAGGACCCTACAGTCAGAGAGGGTCCTACAGTCAGAGAGGGCCCTACAGCCAGAGAGGGCCCTACAGTCAGAGAGGGCCCTACAGCCAGAGAGGGCCCTACAACTAGAGAGGACCCTACAGTCAGAGAGGGCCCTACAGTCAGATAGGGCCCTACAGCCAGAGAGGGCCCTACAGTCAGAGAGGGCCCTACAGTCAGAGAGGGCCCTACAGCCAGAAAGGGCCCTACAGTCAGAGAGGGCCCTACAGCCAGAGAGGGCCCTACAGTCAGATAGGCCCCTACATCCAGAGAGGGCCCTACAGTCAGAGAGGGCCCTACAGCCAGAGAGGGCCCTACAGTCAGAGAGGGCCCTACAGTCAGAGAGGGCCCTACAGCCAGAGAGGACCCTACAGTCAGATAGGGCCCTACAGCCAGAGAGGGCCCTACAGTCAGAGAGGGCCCTACAGTCAGATAGGGCCCTACAGCCAGAGAGGGCCCTACAGTCAGAGAGGGCCCTACAGTCAGAGAGGGCCCTACAGCCAGAGAGGGCCCTACAGTCAGAGAGGGCCCTACAGTCAGAGAGGGCCCTACAGCCAGAGAGGGCCCTACAGTCAGAGAGGGCCCTACAGTCAGAGAGGGTTCTACAGTCAGAGAGGGTCCTACAGCCAGAGAGGGCCCTACAGTCAGAGAAGGCCCTACAGCCAGAGAGGATCCTACAGTCAGAGAGGGCCCTACAGTCAGAGAGGGCCCTCCAGTCAGAGAGGGCCCTACAGCCAGAGAGGGCCCTACAGTCAGAGAGGGCCCTACAGTCAGAGAGGGTTCTACAGTCAGAGAGGGCCCTACAGCCAGAGAGGGCCCTACAGTCAGAGAGGGCCCTACAGCCAGAGAGGGTCCTACAGTCAGAGAGGGCCCTACAGCCAGAGAGGGTCCTACAGTCAGAGAGGGCCCTACAGTCAGAGAGTGCCCTACAGCCAAAGAGGGTCCTACAGCCAGAGAAAGTCCTACAGCCAGAGAGGGCCCTACAGCCAGAGAGGGCCCTACAGTTAGAGAGGTCACTATAACTACAGAGGGCCCTACAGTCAGAGAGGGCCCTACAGCCAGAGAGGGCCCTACAGCCAGAGAGGGCCCTACAGTCAGAGAGGTCACTATAGCTACAGAGGGCCCTACAACCAGAGAGGGCCCTACAGTCAGCGAGGTCACTACAGCTACAGAGGGCCCTACAGTCAGAGAGGTCACTATAGCTACAGAGGGCCCTACAGCCAGAGAGGGCCCTACAGTCAGAGAGGTCACTATAGCTACACAGGGCCCTACAGCCAGAGAGGTCACTATAGCTACAGAGGGCCCTACAGCCAGAGAGGGCCCTACAGTCAGATAGGTCACTATAGCTACAGAGGGCCCTACAGTCAGATAGGGCCGTACAGCCAGAGAGGGCCCTACAGTCAGAGAGAGCCCTACAGTCAGAGAGGGCCCTACAGCCAGAGAGGGCCCTACAGTCAGAGAAGGCCCTACAGTCAGAGAGGGCCCTACAGCCAGAGAGGGCCCTACAGTCAGAGAGGGCCCTACAGTCAGAGAGGGATCTATAGTCAGAGAGGGCCCTACAGCCAGAGAGGGCCCTACAGTCAGAGAAGGCCCTACAGCCAGAGAGGGTCCTACAGTCAGAGAGAGCCCTACAGTCAGAGAGGTCCCTACAGTCAGAGAGGGCCCTACAGTCAGAGAGGGCCCTACAGTCAGAGAGGGCCCTACAGTCAGAGAGGGCCCTACAGTCAGAGAGGGTTCTACAGTCAGAGAGGGCCCTACAGCCAGAGAGGGCCCTACAGTCAGAGAGGGCCCTACAGCCAGAGAGGGTCCTACAGTCAGAGAGGACCCTACAGCCAGAGAGGGTCCTACAGTCAGAGAGGGCCCTACAGTCAGAGAGGGCCCTACAGCCAAAGAGGGTCCTACAGCCAGAGAAAGTCCTACAGCCAGAGAGGGCCCTACAGCCAGAGAGGGCCCTACAGTTAGAGAGGTCACTATAGCTATAGAGGGCCCTACAGTCAGAGAGGGCCCTACAGCCAGAGAGGGCCCTACAGCCAGAGAGGGCCCTACAGTCAGAGAGGTCACTATAGCTACAGAGGGCCCTACAGTCAGAGAGGGCCCTACAGCCAGAGAGGTCACTACAGCTACAGAGGGCCCTACAGTCAGAGAGGTCACTATAGCTACAGAGGGCCCTACAGCCAGAGAGGGCCCTACAGTCAGAGAGGTCACTATAGCTACAGAGGGCCCTACAGCCAGAGAGGTCACTATAGCTACAGAGGGCCCTACAGCCAGAGAGGGCCCTACAGTCAGAGAGGGCCCTACAGCCAGAGAGGTCACTATAGCTACAGAGGGCCCTACAGCCAGAGAGGTCACTATAGCTACAGAGGGCCCTACAGTCAGAGAGGTCACTATAGCTACAGAGGGCCCTACAGTCAGAGAGGTCACTATAGCTACAGAGGGCCCTACAGTCAGAGAGGTGACTATAGCTACAGAGGGCCCTACAGTCAGAGAGGTCACTATAGCTACAGAGGGCCCTACAGTCAGAGAGGTCACTATAGCTACAGAGGGCCCTACAGTCAGAGAGGTCACTATAGCTACAGAGGGCCCTACAGTCAGAGAGGTCACTATAGCTACAGAGGGTTCTACAGCCAGAGAGGTCACTATAGCTACAGAGGGCCCTACAGCCAGAGAGGTCACTATAGCTACAGACGGCCCTACAGCCAGAGAGGTCACTATAGCTACAGAGGGCCCTACAGTCAGAGAGGGCCCTACAGTCAGAGAGGGCCCTATAGCTACAGAGGGCCCTACAGTCAGAGAGGTCACTATAGCTACAGAGGGCCCTACAGTCAGATAGGGCCCTACAGTCAGAGAGGGCCCTACAGTCAGAGAGGTCACTATAGCTACAGAGGGCCCTACAGCCAGAGAAGGCCCTACAGCTAGAGAGGTCACTATAGCTACAGAGGACCCTACAGCCAGAGAGGTCACTATAGCTACAGAGGGCCCTACAGTCCGAGAGGGCCCTATAGCTACAGAGGGCCCTACAGTCAGGGAGGGCCCTATAGCTACAGAGGGCCCTACAGTCAGAGAGGTCACTATAGCTACAGAGGGCCCTACAGTCAGAGAGGACCCTACAGCCAGATAGGTCACTATAGCTACAGAGGGCCCTACAGCCAGAGAGGTCACTATAGCTACAGAGGGCCCTACAGTCAGAGAGGGCCCTATAGCTACAGAGGGCCCTACAGTCAGAGAGGTCACTATAGCTACAGAGGGCCCTACAGTCAGAGAGGTCACTATAGCTACAGAGGGCCCTACAGTCAGAGAGGGCCCTACAGCCAGAGAGGTCACTATAGCTACAGAGGGCCCTACAGTCAGAGAGGTCACTATAGCTACAGAGGGCCCTACAGCCAGAGAGGGCCCTACAGTCAGAGAGGTCACTATAGCTACAGAGGGCCCTACAGCCAGAGAGGTCACTATAGCTACAGAGGGCCCTACAGTCAGAGAGGTCACTATAGCTACAGCGGGCCCTACAGCCAGAGAGGTCACTATAGCTACAGAGGGCCCTACAGTCAGAGAGGGCCCTACAGTCAGAGAGGTCACTATAGCTACAGAGGGCCCTACAGTCAGAGAGGTCACTATAGCTACAGAGGGCCCTACAGCCAGAGAGGTCACTATAGCTACAGAGGGCCCTACAGTCAGAGAGGTCACTATAGCTACAGAGGGCCCTACAGCCAGAGAGGTCACTATAGCTACAGAGGGCCCTACAGTCAGAGAGGTCCCTACAGCCAGAGAGGTCACTATAGCTACAGAGGTCCCTACAGCCGGAGAGGTCACTATAGCTACAGAGGTCACTATAGCTACAGAGGTCACTATAGCTACAGAGGGCCCTACAGTCAGAGAGGGCCCTATAGCTACAGAGGTCACTATAGCTACAGAGGTCACTATAGCTACAGAGGTCACTATAGCTACAGAGGGCATTCCAGGTGTCTCCTGCTAGTCAGTCTCAGGACCACCAGAAAGGCCACAGACACTCAGACGCCAACTGGGAACAGGAGCCTCTTGAACCATTCCGTGGCCACCTTGTCTCTCTCTCTCTCATCTCTCCTCAGCCGAGCTCCCTACCTCACCTCAGCCAGTAGCTCGGCCAACCTTACACCAGCATTAGTTCAAGCAAGCCTGACACTGCTGATGAGACGCCGAATGTCGAAAACGGCTCCAGAGTGCGCTCGTGTTCAACCAATGCTGCTGACATTATGCACTCGCGGAAAGTTCGTGGTGCTGATGGGATGTGGAAGGGGACGTCCATAAATGACGTCACGCGATTTTTGACGATGTTTGACCCCCCACCATGTCACACATCGTCACAAATGTGTGACCCCCCCCCCCCACCCCCAGGTGCTGCCCGCTCGTTGGCTGCGCCCCCCCCCCCCTCCTTGGGCGAGGCTCAAGGAGACTCCCGGTGGTCTCCTCTGCGCGGCTCCACAGCGACCCCTGCTGCCGAGACCCCGCGACTCAGTCCCCGACTCCGTCGAGTGGTGCGCAACAACGCGTCTTGTGGAGCAGTGGATAGAGAATGGCCGCTGCTGGTACTGCTGACGGTGCGGAACGCAGCCACGATGAGGTAGACTTGCATCATCACGCACGCAGCTCTTAACACAATTATTTTAAACAATATAATAAATGGAAGTATTGAATATATATTTTTTACACATCCTATCAGCCAAGCGGCCTTCTGGGAGTGCATTTTTAGTTTCTCAGCACCAACATTTTAATAGCAAAATGTCATACATGTCAACCCCTTATCAGTGCCCTACCTTATTACAGACCAGACCCTATTGGTCACCCCGTGCCCCTTATAAAACTCGACGTTCACCCTAAAAAATCCCATCACAAGGGAGAAACACAACTAAAATAGACAAACTATTTTTGTTGCCCGTATTGAAACGGCTGTACGCCGTACGGACCTGAAAACTCACTTTCCCCCTCCAAGAACACGGGGTGGGTAAACCGTGATGGGTCGACAGCGACGACATCCCGAACCGGTTTCTTAAACAGCTGCGAGAACGCGCACAGGCGAGAGGAGAGACACCGTCAGGGACTGCTCAGAGAAGCGAGCGGAACTCGGGCAGGACGCGCCACGGTCGTGGAGGGGACAGCGACAGCGGTCAGGAATCGCGACGGGGCGCGCACGGCAGGCAGGATCGTCCACCGTGGAGACGGAGCGATGGGAATCCAACGCGCGAGACGAAGCTGCATCCGATTCTCGAACATCGCAGGCCCCACGGGAGATCTCGCCGGCTTTCAGGGAGGCGTTCGTCGATTGACCGTGGCCCGTGGCGACGATGACGGCGAGGGCAAAGACTCGCGAATGGAATGAACGAGTTTACAAAAACATTAGAAAAAGACGCAGAGAAAAAAACAAATCGAGCGTGGCTCATCCAGCGTGACGTCACCCGCTTCGGAAGTCGTGCGGGGTGACGTCACGCAGTTAGAACTCAAGCGCGCGCGCCGCGGAAGAGCCGAGAGGGGGCAGAGAGCGATGGGGGAGAGCGGCGAGGAGCCGGCGCTGATGAGCCACGTACGACCCCCCCCCCCCCACTCTTGCTGTTGTACCCCCCCCCCCCCCTGTGTCAGTGGCATCAGGGCGCGATGCGGTAGAGTGTGGGCTCGGGGTAGGGGTGGAGTGTGTGGTCGGGGTAGAGTGTGTGGTAGGGGTAGAGTGTGTGGTAGCGGTAGGGGTGGAGTTTGTGGTAGGGGTAGCGGTGGAGTTTGTGGTAGGGGTGGAGTGTGTGGTAGGGGTAGGGGTGGAGTGTGTGGTAGGGGTAGAGTGTGTGGTAGGGGGAGGGGTGGAGTGTGTGGTAGGGGTGGAGTGTGTGGTAGGGGTAGAGTGTGTGGTAGGGGTAGGGGTGGAGTGTGTGGTAGGGTTAGGGGTGGAGTGTGTGGTAGTGGTAGGGGTAGAGTGTGTGGTAGGGGTGGAGTGTGTGGTAGGGTAGGGGTGGAGTGTGTGGTAGGGGTAGGGGTGGAGTGTGTGGTAGGGGTAGGGGTGGAGTGTGTGGTAGGGGTAGAGTGTGTGGTAGGGGTAGAATGTGTGGTAGGGGTGGAGTGTGTGGTAGGGGTAGGGGTGGAGTGTGTGGTAGGGGTAGGGGTGGAGTGTGTGGTAGGGGTGGAGTGTGGTAGTGTTAAGGGTGGAGTGTGGTAGTGTTAGGGGTGGAGTGTGGTAGTGTTAGGGGTGGAGTGTGTGGTAGGGTTAGGGGTGGAGTGTGTGGTAGGGTTAGGGGTGGAGTGTGGTAGGGTTAGGGGTGGAGTGTGGTAGTGTTAGGGGTGGAGTGTGTGGTAGGGGTAGGGGTGGAGTGTGTGGTAGGGGTGGAGTGTGTGGTGGGGGTGGAGTGTGTGGTAGGGGTAGGGGTAGAGTGTGTGGTAGGGGTGGAGTGTGTGGTAGTGTTAAGGGTGGAGTGTGGTAGTGTTAGGGGTGGAGTGTGGTAGTGTTTGGGGTGGAGTGTGTGGTAGGGGTGGAGTGTGTGGTAGTGTTAAGGGTGGAGTGTGTGGTAGGGGTAGGGGTGGAATGTGTGGTAGGGGTAGTGGTGGAGTGTGTGGTAGGGGTAGAGTGTGGGGTAGTGCTAGGGGTGGAGTGTGTGGTAGGGGTGGAATGTGTGGTAGGGGTAGGGGTGGAGTGTGGTAGTGTTAAGGGTGGAGTGTGGTAGTGTTAGGGGTGGAGTGTGGTAGTGTTAGGGGTGGAGTGTGTGGTAGGGTTAGGGGTGGAGTGTGTGGTATGGTTAGGGGTGGAGTGTGTGGTAGGGTTAGGGGTGGAGTGTGGTAGGGTTAGGAGTGGAGTGTGGTAGTGTTAGGGGTGAAGTGTGTGGTAGGGGTAGGGGTGGAGTGTGTGGTAGGGGTGGAGTGTGTGGTAGGGGTGGAGTGTGTGGTAGGGGTGGAGTCTGTGGTAGTGTTAAGGGTGGAGTGTGGTAGTGTTAGGGGTGGAGTGTGGTAGTATTTGGGGTGGAGTGTGTGGTAGGGGTAGGGGTGGAGTGTGTGGTAGTGTTAAGGGTGGAGTGTGTGGTAGGGGTAGGGGTGGAGTGTGTGGTAGTGTTAGGGGTGGAGTGTGTGGTAGTGTTAGGGGTGGAGTGTGGTAGTGTTTGGGGTGGAGTGTGGTAGTGTTTGGGGTGGAGTGTGTGGTAGTGTTAGGGGGGAGTGTGGTAGTGTTAAGGGTAGAGTGTGGTAGTGTTAAGGGTGGAGTGTGTGGTAGGGGTGGAGTGTGTGGTAGGGGTAGGGGTGGAGTGTGTGGTAGGGGTAGGGGTAGAGTGTGTGGTAGGGGTAGGGGTGGAGTGTGTGGTAGGGGTGGAGTGTGTGGTAGGGGTAGGGGTGGAGTGTGTGGTAGGGGTAGAGTGTGTGGTAGGGGTAGAGTGTGTGGTAGGGGTAGGGGTGGAGTGTGTGGTAGGGGTAGAGTGTGGGGTAGTGCTAGGGGTGGAGTGTGTGGTAGGGGTGGAATGTGTGGTAGGGGTAGGGGTGGAGTGTGGTAGTGTTAAGGGTGGAGTGTGGTAGTGTTAGGGGTGGAGTGTGGTAGTGTTAGGGGTGGAGTGTGTGGTAGGGTTAGGGGTGGAGTGTGTGTTAGGGTTAGGGGTGGAGTGTGTGGTAGGGTTAGGGGTGGAGTGTGTGGTAGGGGTAGGGGTGGAGTGTGTGGTAGGGGTGGAGTGTGTGGTAGGGGTAGAGTGTGTGGTAGGGGTGGAGTGTGTGGTAGTGTTAAGGGTGGAGTATGGTAGTGTTAGGGGTGGAGTGTGGTAGTGTTTGGGGTGGAGTGTGTGGTAGGGGTGGAGTGTGTGGTAGTGTTAAGGGTGGAGTGTGTGGTAGGGGTAGGGGTGGAATGTGTGGTAGGGGTGGAGTGTGTGGTAGGGGTAGGGGTAGAGTGTGGGGTAGTGCTAGGGTGGAGTGTGTGGTAGGGGTGGAATGTGTGGTAGGGGTAGGGGTGGAGTGTGGTAGTGTTAAGGGTGGAGTGTGGTAGTGTTAGGGGTGGAGTGTGGTAGTGTTAGGGGTGGAGTGTGTAATAGGGTTAGGGGTGGAGTGTGTGGTAGGGTTAGGGGTGGAGTGTGTGTTAGGGTTAGGGGTGGAGTGTGGTAGGGTTAGGGGTGGAGTGTGGTAGTGTTAGGGGTGGAGTGTGTGGTAGGGGTAGGGGTGGAGTGTGTGGTAGGGGTGGAGTGTGTGGTAGGGGTAGAGTGTGTGGTAGGGGTGGAGTGTGTGGTAGTGTTAAGGGTGGAGTGTGGTAGTGTTAGGGGTGGAGTGTGGTAGTGTTTGGGGTGGAGTGTGTGGTAGGGGTAGGGGTGGAGTGTGTGGTAGTGTTAAGGGTGGAGTGTGGTAGTGTTAGGGGTGGAGTGTGTGGTAGTGTTAGGGGTGGAGTGTGGTAGTGTTAGGGGTGGAGTGTGGTAGTGTTAGGGGTGGAGTGTGGTACTGTTTGGGGTGGAGTGTGGTAGTGTTTGGGGTGGAGTGTGTGGTAGGGGTGGAGTGTGTGGTAGTGTTAGGGGTGGAGTGTGGTAGTGTTAAGTGTGGAATGTGGTAGTGTTATGGGTGTAGTGTGTGGTAGTGGTGGAGTGTGGTAGTGTTAAGGGTGGAGTGTGTGGTAGGGGTGGAGTGTGTGGTAGTGTTAAGGGTGGAGTGTGTGGTAGGGGTGGAGTGTGTGGTAGGGGTAGAGTGTGTGGTAGGGGTAGGGGTGGAGTATGTGGTAGGGGTAGGGGTAGAGTGTGTGGTAGGCGTAGGGGTAGAGTGTGTGGTAGGGGTGGAGTGTGTGGTAGGGGTAGGGGTGGAGTGTGTGGTAGGGGTAGGGGTGGAGTGTGTGGTAGGGGTAGAGTGTGTGGTAGGGGTAGGGGTGGAGTGTGTGGTAGGGGTAGGGGTAGAGTGTGGGGTAGTGCTAGGGGTGGAGTGTGTGGTAGGGGTGGAATGTGTGGTAGGGGTAGGGGTGGAGTGTGGTAGTGTTAAGGGTGGAGTGTGGTAGTGTTAGGGGTGGAGTGTGGTAGTGTTAGGGGTAGAGTGTGTAGTAGGGTTAGGGGTGGAGTGTGTGGTAGGGTTAGGGGTGGAGTGTGTGGTAGGGTTAGGGGTGGAGTGTGGTAGGGTTAGGGGTGGAGTGTGGTAGTGTTAGGGGTGGAGTGTGTGGTAGGGGTGGGGGTGGAGTGTGTGGTAGGGGTGGAGTGTGTGGTAGGGGTAGGGGTAGAGTGTGTGGTAGGGGTGGAGTGTGTGGTAGTTTTAAAGGTGGAGTGTGGTAGTGTTAGGGGTGGAGAGTGGTAGTGTTTGGGGTGGAGTGTGTGGTAGTGTTAAGGGTGGAGTGTGTGGTAGGGGTAGGGGTGGAATGTGTGGTAGGGGTAGGGGTGGAGTGTGTGGTAGGGGTAGGGGTAGAGTGTGGGGTAGTGCTAGGGGTGGAGTGTGTGGTAGGGGTGGAATGTGTGGTAGGGGTAGGGGTGGAGTGTGGTAGTGTTAAGGGTGGAGTGTGGTAGTGTTAGGGGTGGAGTGTGGTAGTGTTAGGGGTGGAGTGTGTGGTAGGGTTAGGGGTGGAGTGTGTGGTATGGTTAGGGGTGGAGTGTGTGGTAGGTTAGGGGTGGAGTGTGGTAGGGTTAGGGGTGGAGTGTGGTAGTGTTAGGGGTGAAGTGTGTGGTAGGGGTAGGGGTGGAGTGTGTGGTAGGGGTGGAGTGTGTGGTAGGGGTGGAGTGTGTGGTAGTGTTAAGGGTGGAGTGTGGTGGTGTTAGGGGTGGAGTGTGGTAGTGTTAGGGGTGGAGTGTGGTAGTGTTAGGGGTGGAGTGTGGTAGTGTTAGGGGTGGAGTGTGGTAGTGTTTGGGGTGGAGTGTGGTAGTGTTTGGGGTGGAGTGTGTGGTAGGGGTGGAGTGTGTGGTAGTGTTAGGGGTGGAGTGTGGTAGTGTTAAGTGTGGAATATGGTAGTGTTATGGGTGTAGTGTGTGGTAGTGGTGGAGTGTGGTAGTGTTAAGGGTGGAGTGTGTGGTAGGGGTGGAGTGTGTGGTAGGGGTAGGGGTGGAGTGTGTGGTAGAGGTGGAGTGTGTGGTAGGGGTAGAGGTAGAGTGTGTGGTAGGGGTAGGGGTGGAGTGTGTGGTAGAGTTAGGGGTGGAGTGTGTGGTAGTGGTAGGGGTATAGTGTGTGGTAGGGGTAGGGGTGGAGTGTGTGGTAGGGGTAGGGGTGGAGTGTGTGGTAGGGGTAGGGGTGGAGTGTGTGGTAGGGGTAGGGGTGGAGTGTGTGGTAGGGGTAGGGGTGGAGTGTGTGGTAGGGGTAGAGTGTGTGGTAGGGGTAGGGGTAGAGTGTGTGGTAGGGGTGGAGTGTGTGGTAGGGGTAGGGGTGGAGTGTGTGGTAGGGGTAGGGGTGGAGTGTGTGGTAGGGGTAGGGGTGGAGTGTGTGGTAGGGGTAGAGTGTGTGGTAGGGGTAGGGGTGGAGTGTGTGGTAGGGGTCGGGGTAGAGTGTGGGGTAGTGCTAGGGGTGGAGTGTGTGGTAGGGGTGGAATGTGTGGTAGGGGTAGGGGTGGAGTGTGGTAGTGTTAAGGGTGGAGTGTGGTAGTGTTAGGGGTGGAGTGTGGTAGTGTTAGGGGTGGAGTGTGTAGTAGGGTTAGGGGTGGAGTGTGTGGTAAGGTTAGGGGTGGAGTGTGTGGTAGGGTTAGGGGTGGAGTGTGGTAGGGTTAGGGGTGGAGTGTGGTAGTGTTAGGGGTGGAGTGTGTGGTAGGGGTGGGGGTGGAGTGTGTGGTAGGGGTGGAGTGTGTGGTAGGGGTAGGGGTAGAGTGTGTGGTAGGGGTGGAGTGTGTGGTAGTGTTAAGGGTGGAGTGTGGTAGTGTTAGGGGTGGAGTGTGGTAGTGTTTGGGGTGGAGTGTGTGGTAGGGGTGGAGTGTGTGGTAGTGTTAAGGGTGGAGTGTGTGGTAGGGGTAGGGGTGGAATGTGTAGTAGGGGTAGGGGTGGAGTGTGTGGTAGGGGTAGGGGTAGAGTGTGGGGTAGTGCTAGGGGTGGAGTGTGTGGTAGGGGTGGAATGTGTGGTAGGGGTGGAGTGTGGTAGTGTTAAGGGTGGAGTGTGGTAGTGTTAGGGGTGGAGTGTGGTAGTGTTAGGGGTGGAGTGTGTGGTAGGGTTAGGGGTGGAGTGTGTGGTATGGTTAGGGGTGGAGTGTGTGGTAGGTTAGGGGTGGAGTGTGGTAGTGTTAGGGGTGAAGTGTGTGGTAGGGGTAGGGGTGGAGTGTGTGGTAGGGGTGGAGTGTGTGGTAGGGGTGGAGTGTGTGGTAGTGTTAAGGGTGGAGTGTGGTAGTGTTAGGGGTGGAGTGTGGTAGTGTTTGGGGTGGAGGGTGTGGTAGGAGTAGGGGTGGAGTGTGTGGTAGTGTTAAGGGTGGAGTGTGTGGTAGGGGTAGGGGTGGAGTGTGTGGTAGTGTTAGGGGTGGAGTGTGGTAGTGTTATGGGTGTAGTGTGTGCTAGTGGTGGAGTGTGGTAGTGTTAAGGGTGGAGTGTGGTAGTGTTAGGGGTGGAGTGTGGTAGTGTTAGGGGTGGAGTGTGTGGTAGGGTTAGGGGTGGAGTGTGTGGTAGGGTTAGGGGTGGAGTGTGTGGTAGGGTTAGGGGTGAAGTGTGGTAGGGTTAGGGGTGGAGTGTGGTAGTGTTAGGGGTGGAGTGTGTGGTAGGGGTAGGGGTGGAGTATGTGGTAGGGGTGGAGTGTGTGGTAGGGGTAGGGGTAGAGTGTGTGGTAGGGGTGGAGTGTGTGGTAGTGTTAAGGGTGGAGTATGGTAGTGTTAGGGGTGGAGTGTGGTAGTGTTTGGGGTGGAGTGTGTGGTAGGGGTGGAGTGTGTGGTAGTGTTAAGGGTGGAGTGTGTGGTAGGGGTAGGGGTGGCATGTGTGGTAGGGGTAGGGGTGGAGTGTGTGGTAGGGGTGGAGTGTGTGGTAGGGGTGGAGTGTGTGGTAGGGGTGGAGTGTGTGGTAGGGGTAGGGGTAGAGTGTGTGGTAGGGGTGGAGTGTGTGTTAGTGTTAAGGGTGGAGTGTGGTAGTGTTAGGGGTGGAGTGTGGTAATGTTTGGGGTGGAGTGTGTGGTAGTGGTAGGGGTGGAGTGTGTGGTAGTGTTAAGGGTGGAGTGTGTGGTAGGGGTAGGGGTGGAGTGTGTGGTACTGTTAGGGGTGGAGTGTGGTAGTGTTAGGGGTGGAGTGTGGTAGTGTTAGGGGTGGAGTGTGGTAGTGTTTTGGGTGGAGTGTGTGGTAGGGGTAGGGGTGGAGTGTGTGGTACTGTTAGGGGTGGAGTGTGGTAGTGTTAGGGGTGGAGTGTGGTAGTGTTAGGGGTGGAGTGTGGTAGTGTTTGGGGTGGAGTGTGGTAGTGTTTGGGGTGGAGTGTGTGGTAGGGGTGGAGTGTGTGGTAGTGTTAGGGGTGGAGTGTGGTAGTGTTAAGGGTGGAGTGTGGTAGTGTTATGGGTGTAGTGTGTGGTAGTGGTGGAGTGTGGTAGTGTTAAGGGTGGAGTGTGTGGTAGGGGTAGGGGTCGAGTGTGTGGTTGGGGTGCGGTGTGTGATCCGGGTAGGGGAGGAGTGTGTGGTAGGGGTGGAGTGTGTGGTAGGGGTAGGGGTGGAGTGTGTGGTAGTGTTAGGGATGGAGTGTGTGGTAGGGGTAGGGGTGGAGTGTGTGGTAGGGGTGGAGTGTGTGGTAGTGTTAGGGGTGTGTGTTAGTGGTGGAGTGTGTGGTAGGTGTGGAGTGTGTGGTAGTGGTGGAGTGTGTGGTCGGGGTAGGGGTGGAGTGTGTGGTCGGGGTATGTGTGGAGTGTGTGGTAGGGGTGAAGTGTGTGGTAGGGGTAGGGGTGGAGTGTGTGGTAGTGGTGGAGTGTGTGGTAGTGGTGGAGTGTGTGGTAGTGTTAGGGGTGGAGTGTGTGGTAGGGGTGGAGTGTGTGGTAGTGGTGGAGTGTGTGGTAGGGGTTTAGGTTTGGAGTGTGTAGTAGGATTAGGGGTTGAATGTGGGGTAGTTCTAAAGGTGGAGTGTGTGGTAGGGGTAGTGGTGGAGTGTGTGGTAGGGGTAGGGGTGGAGTGTGTGGTAGTGGTGGAGTGTCTGGTAGTGTTAGGGGTGGAGTGTGTGGTAGGGGTGGAGTGTGTGGTAGTGGTGGAGTGTGTGGTAGGGGTTTAGGTTTGGAGTGTGTAGTAGGATTAGGGGTTGAGTGTGGGGTATGTATGTTGAACTTCTTTCGTACCGTACGTGGCCAACCGTGCTAATCGGAGGTGTGGGTTAGAGTTTGCGAGTATAAACAAACAACCGCCGTTGCCGAAAGACGCGGGGAAAGCTTTCAGTCCAGCAGTGGATTAACAAAGAACAGTCGGAGCATTACAACAATTTTACCTTGCGCTGAGCACCAACCCCAACCTGGACCCCTCCCCCCCCATCCTATCAATCCGTGAACCCCCCATGCGCGCCCCCCGTCCCCTCCTCCCCCAGGTGCGCGAGGTGCAAATTCCGTTTGAAAGCCGCGTCCTGAACGCGCTGCTGTCCGTACCCCCCGCGTGGGACCGCCGCCCTCCGCTGGCGCTGGCGGTGACGCACGGCGCTGGGGGCGACGCCTCGCTGCCCCAGCTCCGCGCCCTCGCCCAGAGCCTCCTCTCCGCGGGGGTGCCGTGCCTCCGGTTCACGTGCCGCGGGGGGCCCCTCGCCTACCGCGTGCGCGCCTACCGCGCCGTGCTGGTACGAGGGCCCCCCCCCACCATGCCTCTTCCCCCACCATACCTCACCAAAAGGACCCCACAATCCACCTCGTGCCTCTCCCGCCCCCCACCACGGTTTTTTGCACCGCTCCCAACAAACCTCCAAAGCCTCCCCCATCGGTCCTCACCGTGCCCCCCCCCGTGACCACGCCTTTCGTGGACCACGCGTGCCTTGCCCGTAGCGCGTTGCAATGGCGGTGCGAGTTCAATTCAAATCTCAGCAAACACTGCTGCTGTCGGCCTCATTATAGTGATGCTCGCTCGTAATTGGTCTGCCCTTGGCTGATTACATCCGACCCACCCCCCCCCCCCTCTCTTCGACAGCCTCACCAGTCTGGCTGCCCACCCCCCCACATGCCCCTCCCCCCTCCATTCTACTCCAGGACCCCCCCCTCCCCCCATACCTCCTCACCCTCCCCCCTTGACCCTCTGCCGAAATGATCTGAGACCTCCCCCCCCCACTCAGCAGATATCTGCGCTTCAGTGACGTCACCACGGCACAAGTTTATCGGGCAAATCGCTTGACGACATTACACGTCCATTACACGATCCTATCGCGCTTTCATCACATCACCTCCATCACACGTCCATCACTTCACCTCCATCACTTCACCTCCATCCCACGTCCATCACTTCACCTCCATCCCACGTCCATCACTTCACCTCCATCCCACGTCCATCACTTCACCTCCATCCCACATCCATCACTTCACCTCCATCCCACGTCCATCACTTCACCTCCATCGCACGTCCATCACTTCACCTCCATCACACGTCCATCACTTCACCTCCATCACACGTCCATCACATCACCTCCATCACACGTCCATCACTTAACCTCCATCCCACGTCCATCACTTCACCTCCATCGCACGTCCATCACTTCACCTCCATCGCACGTCCATCGCATCACCTCCATCACACGTCCATCACTTCACCTCCATCACACGTCCATCACTTCACCTCCATCACACGTCCATCACATCACCTCCATCCCACGTCCATCACTTCACCTCCATCGCACGTCCATCACTTCACCTCCATCGCACGTCCATCGCATCACCTCCATCACACGTCCATCACATCACCTCCATCACACGTCCATCACTTCACCTCCATGACATCGCCATGAATCATCACACTTCACACGTCCATCACATGCACTGCATCACCTCCATCACACATCACCCAATCACACATCATATCACCCATTACACATCACCCCATAATACATCACATCACCCCATTACACATCAACACCCCATCACACATCACCCAATCACACATCACATCACCCATTACATATCACCCCATTACACATCATATCGCACCATCACACATCACCCCATCACACACCACCCCATCACATATTACGTCACCCCATCACACATCACAACACCCCATCACACACCACAACACCCCATCACACATCACAACACCCCATCACACATCACCCCATCACACATCACCCCATCACACGTCACCCCATCACACATCACCCCATCACACATCACCCCATCACACGTCACCCCATCACGCATCACGTCACCACATCCTCTTCGTGCACACATCACATGCACACTGCACACATCACGTGCACACTGCACACTGCACACATCACGTGCACACATCACGTGCACACTGCACACATCACGTGCACACTGCACACATCACGTGCACACTGCACACATCACGTGCACACTGCACACATCACGTGCACACTGCACACATCACGTGCACACTGCACACATCACGTGCACACTGCACACATCACGTGCACACATCACGTGCACCAGCATAACGCCGCGTCGTGCAAGGAAACGGGCGAGCGATGCCATTGGAGTGGCCGAGCTCACCGTGCCGTCGCCTTCAAGGATGTGACCCCGGTATCGGGGGCTCATTAGGTCACGCCGGTGTGCCCGTGTCACCTGCAGGAATATTTGCGGAACTCCGGGGAGCTACGGCTGGGGGGCTGCGTGCTGGCAGGTAACGGGCAAGCGTGAGACACCACGCCATCCAATCGCACGGTCGACGTCCCGCTACGTAACCAACTCTCTCTGCAGGCTTGTATTGTGTCTCTCGTACGTATTGTCCGTGTCTATGATTAATGTTTCATATTGTGTCTCACTTCTAGTGTCCGTGTCTTGTTTCGTTTATACGGTCTTTATTGATTCATTAACGTAAATATTACATTGTAACTCAAGCTGCACACATGCCACTATTGATTCTCACTGCTGTCACAGCTGTCAATCCCAGCTGTTCTTTACACCCGTAACAACTGTCCATCACAGCTGTCTGCTGTCAATCACAGCTGTCAATCACAGCTGTTCTTTACACCTGTAACAGCTGTCCATCGCAGCTGTCTGCCACAGCTGTCAATCACAGCTGTTCTTTACACCCGTAACAGCTGTCCATCGCAGCTGTCTGCCACAGCTGTCAATCACAGCTGTCTGTCACAGCTGTTCTTTACACCTGTAACAGCTGTCCATCACAGCTGTCCATCACAGCTGTCAATCACAGCTGTCTGTCACAGCTGTCAATCACAGCTATTCTTTACACCTGTAACAGCTGTCCATCACAGCTGTCAATCACAGCTGTCTGTCACAGCTGTCAATCACAGCTGTTCTTTACACCTGTAACAGCTGTCCATCACAGCTGTCTGTCACAGCTGTCAATCACAGCTGTTCTGTACACCTGTAACAGCTGTCTAACACAGCTGTCTGCCACAGCTGTCAATCACAGCTGTTCTGTACACCTGTAACAGCTGTCCATCACAGCTGTCTGTCACAGCTGTTCTGTACACCTGTAACAGCTGTCTATCACAGCTGTCTGTCACAGCTGTCAATCACAGCTGTTCTGTACACCTGTAACAGCTGTCCATCACAGCTGTCTGTCACAGCTGTCAGTCACAGCTGTCTGTCACAGCTGTCCATCACAGCTGTTCTTTACACCCGCAACAACTGTCCATCACAGCTGTCTGTCACAGCTGTCCATCACAGCTGTCTGCCACAGCTGTCCATCACAGCTGTTCTTTACACCTGTAACAGCTGTCCATCACAGCTGTCTGTCACAGCTGTCAATCACAGCTGTTCTTTACACCTGTAACAGCTGTCTAACACAGCTGTCTGTCACAGCTGTCAATCACAGCTGTTCTTTACACCTGTAACAGCTGTCCATCACAGCTGTCTGTCACAGCTGTCCATCACAGCTGTCTGTCACAGCTGTCAATCACAGCTGTTCTTTACACCTGTAACAGCTGTCCATCACAGCTGTCTGTCACAGCTGTCAATCACAGCTGTTCTTTACACCTGTAACAACTGTCCATCACAGCTGTCTGTCACAGCTGTCAATCACAGCTGTTCTTTACACCTGTAACAGCTGTCCATCACAGCTGTCTGTCACAACTGTCCATCACAGCTGTCAATCACAGCTGTCTGTCACAGCTGTCAATCACAGCTGTTCTTTACACCTGTAACAACTGTCCATCACAGCTGTCTGTCACAGCTGTCTCTCACTGTTGTCCGTCACGCCGGTGCTGGGTGTCCCCCCCCCCCCCCCCCGCTCAGGCCGCTCCATGGGGGCACGGGCGGCCGCTGCGCTGTGCCGTGAGGAGTGGGACCAGCACGGGGGGCCCGGGACCCCCTTTGTGAGGGGGCTCGTCTGCCTCTCGTTCCCCCTGCACCGCCCCGGTCACGGCGGCGTCGTGCGCGGGGCGGAGCTCAGCGCCCTGCGCCGTGGACCCGTCCTGCTTGTGTCGGGGACGCGCGACGAGATGTGTGACCAGGCAAGACAACCTGCTCGCCCGCACCACTCCTCCTCGCTCCTCGCCACTCCTCACCACTCCTCACCGCTCCTCACCACTCCTCACCGCTCCTCACCACTCCTCGCCGCTCCTCACCGCTCCTCACCGCTCCTCACCGCTCCTCGCCACTCCTCACCGCTCCTCACCACTCCTCACCGCTCCTCACCGCTCCTCGCCACTCCTCACCGCTCCTCACCGCTCCTCACCACTCCTCACCGCTCCTCACCGCTCCTCGCCACTCCTCACCGCTCCTCACCACTCCTCACCGCTCCTCACCGCTCCTCGCCACTCCTCACCGCTCCTCACCGCTCCTCACCGCTCCTCGCCACTCCTCACCGCTCCTCGTCACTCCTCACCGCTCCTCACCGCTCCTCACCGCTCCTCACCACTCCTCACCGTTCCTCGCTGCTCCTCACTGCTCTTTGCCGCTCCTCGCCACTCCTCGCCACTCCTCACCTCTCCTCACCGCTCCTCACCGCTCCTCACTGCTCCTCACCACTCCTCGCCACTCCTCACCGCTCCTCACCGCTCCTCACCGCTCCTCCTCAAGCGAGCATCTGCACACTCCTCGCTGTACCTCAAACGCCTCCACGCTCCTTCTCGTGCCTCGTCGCTACCCACCCCTCTTCAACCCTCGTCAATGGACCGAGGAGAAGAGCAGAGCGGCGACGGTTGGGATGAGGCCCGTCGTGGCTGCGTGCCGACCGTGCGGCGGCTGCGGGGTGTGGCGGGGGGGCGGAGCGCGCTGGCAGTGAGGAGGTGGTACGGTGGCGGTGGTGGCGGCGGCGGCGGCGGCGGCGTCGATGGATTCGGCCACGATGACCCCTCGATGCGAAACCCCCTCGCCCCTTTCACCCCCATTCCCAGGATCTCCTGCGGGCCACTCTGGCCCGCGTGGAGGCCCCCGTGAGCGTCCACTGGGTGCGGGACGCCCGCCACTCCCTGGAGGCGCGGGGTCGCGACCCCGCCGCCGTCCTGCGGGAGGCGAGCGACGCGGTGGTGCGCTGGGTGCGCGCCCTGCCCCCACTCGCTCCGGAGGCCCCTGGCAGCGGCGCGCGGTGACGGTACGCCAGAGTGTTGTTCCGGGCAATCGTTGCCGGCAATCGTTGCCGGCAATCGTCACCACGTCGTTGTGGTCATCTTCTTCCCTACGGCCGAGGAAGAGCGACTCTTTGAGATTCACTCGGAAGTGAATTCGCCATTCGGTCGCTTTTGTTTTAGAGTTGGTGAATTGCACATGTACTCACACACCCACTCGCCCACTCACATATGCATCCACTCACTCGCCCAGCCACTCGCCCAGCCACTCGCCCACCCACTCGCCCACCCACTTGCCCACCCACTCGCCCACCCACTCGCTCACCTACTCGCTCACCTACTCGCTCACCCACACACACACTCACCCACTTACTCACTCACCCACTCACAAGAAAGATCGCCCGTATTGTGCTGTTTGTGAGCACCTATGAAGGCCAGCACGGGACGCGAGGGGATGGATGGCCTACACCATGCCCGGCTGCCTTAGTCTCCCAAGTGGTGATGTTTAGACACCGCACCAGGTACTCAGATATATAATCGCTACTGTTATTGGCTGTGAGTGGGAATCGAACGTGGGTCGCCGGGTTCGTAGCACAGCCGTCACCAACTCACATACTCACCCGCCCACTCATCCACCCACTCACCCACTCACTCACCCACTCACTCATCTATCCAGTCACCCACCCACCCACTACCCTAACATTTATATTTGGTGTCCTTGGCCACAGCCCCACACAGGAGAGAGACGGTCTTTGATTTTCCACTTGTGCATCAGCTGCGCACTGCATCTCCCGTAGTACGTGCCGATGCGGTTAAGCGCTGCCCATTGTTTCCATGGAAGATGGAAACAATGGGCAGCGTGGTGGTGGTGGTGGTTTCGCTGATCAGATGTTGTTTTAGGGCACGTTGAGTCGTCACTGGCAACACCACTACCACAAGCAAACCCCAGCTGCTTGACCTGGCAATGGCTCAAGCATTTGTAGCAACGGGGCTGTCACCCGTTGGGCGCTCTCTTAAATGCCCCAACATCTCAAAGCACCGTGTCATCAGGCCATCGTAGCGGTGGGGAGTGCAGGCGGTGCAATTGCCCCGCGGCCTACAGGCCAGAGTGGTGGGGGGGGGGGGTGGCGGGCGCTGGGCTGCGGAGAGGCGAATGGGAAATTGGACATGGGTCCCCTTTTCACGGGGACCCATGCCAACCACGCCATGCCACACCGCTAGCAGAGTGACAGAGTTCTGTCTCGCCAGTGAAAACAGTCGGGGAGCGGTGGTGGAGTGGTGGGCGCACTGCGTTACTAAACGCCCACCTCCAGCGGTGTGGTTGCCACATTGTCAGCTCAGGGGGTGCCGCGATTGGTCAGGTGAGGACCCCATAGTTGATTGGTCTCACACGGTCACATCTACGCTATTAGCGCGGCTGCTCTTGCCTAATCACATGATAGAAGCGTTGCTGTTCTTCAACACTGCTGTGCAAAACACGTCTCGTGGTGCTTATCCAGGGGGCCCTGACTCGTAGCTTTGGCCACCAGGGGGGGTGAGGGGGGGCAAGTCACCCCCTGCCCCCCCCCCCCGCCATGCTCATGATGCTCCTGCGCACCTCCGATTAGCACGGTTGGCTACGTACGGTGCGTTGACTGGGTAGGGCTAGAGACGTAGAGGCAGGGTGAGTACTTGTGGCTGTGTTGACTGGGTAGGGCTAGAGACGTAGGGGCAGGGTGAGTACTTGTGGCTGTGTTGACTGGGTAGGGCTAGAGACGTAGGGGCAGGGTGAGTACTCGTTATTGTTTTGCACGCTGGCCAGGGTTCGGGCTCCGTCTTGGCTGGCTCGTGCCCTCCATACAAACAGTGATTTCCTCATAGTCCCCGTTTGGTCGCTTCTCATTCTCATGATTACATTGCGAAACAACAGCCCTGCGTGTGTGGGAGAGAATTAGCACGTGTGTGAGTGTGTGAATGTGTGTGTTTGTTTCTGCTGGGTAGAGAATGTGTGTGTATTAATGTGTCGGTGTGTAACTGTGTACGTATTCTGTGCGTGTCTCTGGGAGCCATGTAAATTATCTTGAAATAAAAATCACGCTCCTTGCTGGGTGTATGCGTCCGTGTGTGTGAGCCACGGCGGTGTGGGATCCGTTCTGTAAGCCACGCTGTGTGTGTGAGCCACGCTGTGTGAGCCACGCTGTGTGTGACCCACGCTGTGTGTGAGCCACGCTGTGTGTGAGCCACGCTGTGCGTGTGACCCACGCTGTGCGTGTGACCCACGCTGTGCGTGTGAGCCACGCTGTGTGTGACCCACGCTGTGTGTGAGCCACGCTGTGCGTGTGACCCACGCTGTGCGTGTGACCCACGCTGTGCGTGTGAGCCACGCTGTGCGTGTGACCCACGCTGTGTGTGAGCCACGCTGTGTGTGAGCCACGCTGTGCGTGTGACCCACGCTGTGCGTGTGAGCCACGCTGTGTGTGTGAGCCACGCTGTGTGACCCACGCTGTGCGTGTGAGCCACGCTGTGTGTGAGCCACGCTGTGTGTGACCCACGCTGTGTGTGAGCCACGCTGTGTGTGTGTGAGCCACGCTGTGCGTGTGACCCACGCGGTGCGTGTGACCCACGCTTTGTGAGCCACGCTGTGCGTGTGAGCCACGCTGTGTGACTCACGCTGTGTGAGCCACGCTCTGTACGAGCCACGCTGTGTGTGAGCCACGCTCTGTACGAGCCACGCTGTGTGTGAGCCACGCTCTGTACGAGCCACGCTGTGTGTGAGCCACGCTAATTCCCTTGTAATGAAAATCGCGCTGCGAGCGTCTGGCCGCCGCCACTGCTGAGCGGATGAGCGTTTGCCACGTTCGTTTTATTATTAATATTTGATATCGCTCTTTATTAGTTTAAACGCGAAGGAATTTACGATCATAAAACATGAAACAAATCAGTTACACTCACTCCCCCGCCCCAGACAGCGCAGAACTGTTGTGATGGTCGCGGCTCATATTGGCGAGCAGAGTTCAGAATGGCCCCACGGTATTGTGGCTCATCAGCGACGAGCGGTGGCGCAGTGGTTAGCGCAACTGCACTCCAAACCCGGCGACCTCAGATTCGAATATCAGCCATGGCTAATATCGGTGGTGAGTGATATCTGAATATCAGACACGGATAACATTGGTGGTGAGTGATATCTGAATCGGCCCTGTTCCCCATTCCCTTCAACAACACACCATCGGGCGTGGGGAAGTATGGTCAAACAATCCGTGGCGTGGCAAGACCTTCATCCAACAGTGGAGTGACAAGCGGCTGTGCGTGTTTTATAATTAAGAACTATTCCATCAAGTTCCTCGGCATCACCGTCGACTCCACCTTATCCTTTGACAGCTGCACCAACCACAACTCCCACATCAGGGCCGTCTGCCATTGACGTCCACTCACCACCACGGCCGCTAACACCCTTGCCCGCAGCAACCCAATCCTTGTTCCATCTCCACCGAGTGACCTCGAGACACTCGCTCGCGTCGTCCTCGACGCCCGTCTTCCTTGGCCGCAGTCCCACTCGCTTCCCTCCACTCCCTCCCCCACTCGCTTCCCACCATCACCAGCAGGGCCAGCTACAAGATCTCCTGCCTCCAATCCCTCCCCCACTCCCCTCCATCACCAGCAGGGCCAGCTACAAGATCTCCTGCCTCCAATCCCTCCCCCACTGGCTTCCCACCATCACCAGCAGGGCCAGCTACAAGATCTCCTGCCTCCACTCCCTCCCCCACTCCCCACCATCACCAGCAGGGCCAGCTACAAGATCTCCTGCCTCCACTCCCTCCTCCACTGACTTCCCACCATCACCAGCAGGGCCAGCTACAACATCTCCTGCCTCCACTCCCTCCCCCACTCCCCTCCATCACCAGCAGGGTCAGCTACAACATCTCCTGCCTCCAATCCCTCCCCCACTCCCCTCCATCACCAGCAGGGTCAGCTACAAGATCTCGTGCCTCCACTCCCTCCCCCACTCGCTTCCCTCCATCACCAGCAGGGCCAGCTACAACATCTCGTGCCTCCACTCCCTCCCCCACTGGCTTCCCACCATCACCAGCAGGGTCAGCTACAACATCTCCTGCCTCCACTCCCTCCCCCACTGGCTTCCCACCATCACCAGCAGGGCCAGCTACGACATCTCCTGCTGCTTGTGCCACCACTGCGCCTCTCCTCTCGGTCGTCCCCCGTATCTCTCAGCTCTCCTGTCGCTCTGCACGATAGCTCACGGTGCCTGCCCCTGCTGCTCTCGACAGCGAGGAGCAGGGCCCTTGACACTGCCGGCGTCGTCTCTACGTGGCATCCCCCGCCGCGTGATTACGCGGCCATCATCATCACCCCGCCGCTGCTGCTGCACATTCACAGCAGCAGGAGCAGCAGAAGCGGCGTTTAACCGGCACCGACTTTCGAGCGACCTTGAGCTGAGCTCCACACCTCCGAGTCAAGGTCATTTATGTCGTGGATATGTTGAGCGTTACGGATTGGATTATTATGACGATTACAATGACCTGTGTAGGGTGCCTCGTGGCGCGCACGCCTCATAATGACCCCGTCAGTCGCCAATGCAGCGCTTCCGCCTTCGCTGCGTTGAACCGTAGGGGTCAAGGCCAGGGGATGGAGCCACGTGTTGGGATGAGGATCGTGGCCGGTAGGAGGGGTTAGGGTTAGAGTTCAGGGTTATGGTCAAGGTTACGGGTGGAGGAAGGGGTTAAGGAGATGTATGGAGGGGGATAATCTGGATATCAGGATATGGCTGGGGAGAGGGGTCTGGTTATTGGATAGAGGAGGGGGTTCGGGCTATGGCTGGGGAGGAAGCTATGGTCAGAATTATCGCTATGGGGGCGGGGACGTGGATCAGGGTCTGGGATTTGTCCTTCGAGATAAACATGTCACGTGGCGTGGACGCAGCGTGAAGTGTAAATGAGCGCGATAAGAGGGATGTTTGTGTCCACAGTGCGTACGTGCGTGCGCGAATGTGCAGTGTGTGTTGTCTTCGCGTGTACAGCCGCGTGTATCTATCTGTACGTGGTGTTTGTGCCCTAAGAACCCGGCGACCCGCATCCTATTCCCGCTCGCGACCAATGACAGTGGCGAATATTTGCGCCGATCATTAGGCCACGCCTAAGTCGACTCAGCCTTGAATGAGTAACCTGGTGCGGTGTGTAAACATCGGCACTGCACTGACAAAGGCGGCCGGGCGTGGTGTTGGCCGGCCAGCCCCTCGTCTGCCGTGCCGCACTCAATGCCCACTCGTCCCTCAGCAGCCCCGGCAAGGCGACACGAGGGATCGAGCGCAGTGCGCGCGCACGATTTCCCAAAAGACCACTCCATCACGAGTTTCTCTCCCACTCTCCCCCACAATCTCTCTCTCTCTCCCGCACTCTCTCATACTCCCACTCTTTGCTATTTTCTCATACTCGCCCACTCTCTCACTATCCCCGACTTTCTCTCCAGCATATTCTACCCTCCCATACTTCTCGCCACTCCCTTCTCCTCTCCCCTCCTCTTTAACTCTCCCCTACTTTCTACAGCTCTCCCGTACTCTCCCCAACTCGCACTTTCCTCTACTTTCTCCACTCTGCCACCCACAGCCTCAGCTTCTTAACACCCTCACAGACTCCCCCACAACTCCATTCTTCCGCATCCCTCCACTCACGCTCCCCCTCCACCCACGCTCCCCCTCCACCCACGCTCCCCCTCCACCCACGCTCCCCCACCACCCACGCTCCCCCTCCACCCACGCTCCCCCTCCACCCACGCTCCCCCTCCACCCACGCTCCTCCTCCTCCCACGCTCCCCTACCACCCACGCTCCCCCTCCACCCACGCTCCTCCTCCACCCACGCTCCCCCTCCACGCACGCTCCCCCTCCACCCACGCTCCCCCTCCACCCACGCTCCCCCACCACCCACGCTCCTCCTCCTCCCACGCTCCCCCTCCACGCACGCTCCCCCACCACCCACGCTCCCCCTCCACCCACGCTCCCCCTCCACCCACGCTCCCCCTCCACCCACGCTCCCCCACCACCCACGCTCCCCCTCCACCCACGCTCCCCCTCCACCCACGCTCCTCCTCCTCCCACGCTCCCCTACCACCCACGCTCCCCCTCCACCCACGCTCCTCCTCCACCCACGCTCCCCCTCCACGCACGCTCCCCCTCCACCCACGCTCCCCCTCCACCCACGCTCCCCCACCACCCACGCTCCTCCTCCTCCCACGCTCCCCCTCCACGCACGCTCCCCCACCACCCACGCTCCCCCTCCACCCACGCTCCCCCACCACCCACGCTCCCCCTCCTCCCACGCTCCCCCCCCCACCCACGCTCCCCCTCCACCCACGCTCCTCCTCCTCCCACGCTCCCCCTCCACCCACGCTCCCCCTCCACCCACGCTCCTCCTCCACCCACGCTCCCCCTCCACCCACGCTCCCCCACCACCCACGCTCCCCCTCCTCCCACGCTCCCCCTCCACCCACGCTCCCCCTCCACCCACGCTCCTCCTCCCACGCTCCCCTACCACCCACGCTCCCCCTCCACCCACGCTCCCCCTCCACCCACGCTCCCCCTCCACCCACGCTCCCCCTCCACCCACGCTCCCCCTCCACCCACGCTCCCCCACCACCCACGCTCCCCCTCCACCCACGCTCCCCCTCCACCCACGCTCCCCCTCCTCCCACGCTCCCCCTCCACCCACGCTCCCCCTCCACCCACGCTCCCCCTCCACCCACGCTCCCCCACCACCCACGCTCCCCCTCCACCCACGCTCCCCCTCCTCCCACGCTCCCCCTCCACCCACGCTCCCCCTCCACCCACGCTCCACCCACGCTCCCCCTCCTCCCACGCTCCCCCACCACCCACGCTCCCCCTCCACCCACGCTCCCCCTCCTCCCACGCTCCCCCTCCACCCACGCTCCCCCTCCACCCACGCTCCCCCACCACCCACGCTCCCCCTCCACCCACGCTCCCCCTCCTCCCACGCTCCCCCTCCACCCACGCTCCCCCTCCACCCACGCTCCACCCACGCTCCCCCTCCTCCCACGCTCCCCCACCACCCACGCTCCCCCTCCACCCACGCTCCCCCTCCTCCCACGCTCCCCCTCCTCCCACGCTCCCCCTCCACCCACGCTCCCCCTCCACCCACGCTCCCCCTCCACCCACGCTCCCCCTCCACCCACGCTCCCCCTCCTCCCACGGTCCTCCTCCACCCACGCTCCCATCCATCCACACTCCCCCAACCCCGGGGGGCCGTGTGTCCGGTAAGACCAGCGGGAGTCAGAGTCGTGTTTCCGGGCGCCGCTCTCGGGCATTGTCATTTGTAAACGCAGTCATTAATAATGATCGAGACACAAAGGTGGCCGGGCGTGGTAAATATTTATTTGTGGTGCAGTACTGAACAAAATTAGCGTACAATGAATGCACTCGCATATACGGATATGCTCGCTGTACGCATTAAGATAACAAAAGACAAAGATCCACCATATAGCCTTAACGGGCTTTTTGGGGCAAGTGCTGTTCGAGAGCACCTATGAATGCCGGCACGGCACACGAGGGGTTGGGTGGTCAGCATCACGCTCGGCCGCCTTTGTCTCCCAAGTGGTGATTTTTACATATCACACTCGATACTCATTTGAGGCTGAGTAGACCTTGGGGAGGCCCGGGACTGGTTCATATAATCGTCATTGGTGTTGGCCGTGAGCGGGAATCTAACTCATAAATTCCGGGTTCATAGCCCACGCGCTAACCGCTGACGTTTAGTTTCTAAGTGGCGGTAAGACCAATGCAGCGCTTTGCAGGCTAAGTGCACTTTGAGGCCACGTAAAGTGCCGAATAGCCGCTGACTGGTCACAGGACAGACCCAAATGCCATGGGTTGACTGACTGAGATGACTGGCCGATGCACTACCTGTCCATATTAGAGGGGGGGGTTCGCGTTAGTAAGGTTGGTCACGTACATAAAACACGTGCCAATGAGTTACTATCTTCTCGGTTCTTTCGGTAAAGTCACCACGTAGAATGGAAATAAAATGTTGTTTTATTTTTGTTATTTTATTTCCATTCTCCGTGGTGACTTTACCGAAAGAACCAAGAAGATGAATCCCCGCAGTCACGAAAGCTTTAAATCGAAATTAGTTACTAGTTCAGCACGCCGGTGTGTTGGAGAGTAAACCGCGTGTGCCCCCCACTTCGCCAACTTGCTGCGTTTTTAATCCGCCCGGCGCTTTGCTCGTTGCTGTGCTCGTTGCTGTGAGCGTTGCTCCTCCGCCCTCCGCTGTTGTTGGAGTGCGGCTGCCTCCCAACCACTGCCACCAGTAGCAGCGTCCTTCACGAGCCTCCTCCACCGAGGTCGATCTCGACACGTGGAGGCGAGTGGCAAGAGACCACGGAACTCCACGTCATCACATGGCACAGGAGCCCCATCTCTGCGCACACACCACGGGCGTCACAGCGCGCAGGGCGGAGCTGAGCCAAGGGCCGTGGACTGCCCTGCTGGGGTGAGGGGGTCCGGGTTGCGATCCGGCTTAGGGGGCGCGCACACTCGGGGCAGGTTTCAAGGAATTGGGGTACAGGGATTGTGGAAACAATGCTGCCCAAGATTCGGCTCATTGCCTGCAGATGCCCTTTCGCTGCCCGCGGAGAAGGGCAGGACACCCAGACTCCCCCTCCCCTTCCTACCGTGCCCCTCTCTCCCCGCCCATATCTTGTGTCATGGAAAGTGAATGATCCCCTCCCTCCATGATTTATTAATCGCAAATATTTTGACGTCTCCACACTGGAACAAGGAGATCCAGCCACGCACGGCGGGGTCACTGCGATCCCCCCCCCCCCCTGTTGAAGACTTTTTGTTTTCCTCGGACCCCGCTAATTAACATCGTTACCCTCCACCCACTGCTGTGTACCCCCCCTGACCCCCCTGCCCCCCCGTTCAGAGGCAGCTCCTCGAGGTGGTGGCTAGGGGGCACTCAAAGTTGAGGAGTTGTTACATCTCTCCATCGCTTCCTTACTTCTGCCAAATCCTCTGCAGCGTGTCGCACATTCCGTGCGTGACTCCCAAAATCTGATTTTAGTCTCATCCCACTCATGGCTTGCAGGGGTGGGGGGGGGGGTAGAGCTGAGGGGTGGGACTCGACTCCATGACGCCACTTTGACAAATCGACTAATTGAGCCATCACCAGTATCACCACCATCGTTGTAATAGCATCCGAGCCCCGGCGGGTAACTCATTGCTGGAGGAATATCCACGGCTCGTGGACCCCACGGCTCAGGGGACCCCACAGCTCGGGGGACCCCACCGGGGATCCCACGGGGGACCCCACGGCTCGGGGACCCCACCGGGGACCCCACCGGGGACCCCACCGGGGACCCCACGGCTCGGGGACCCCACGGCTCCGGGATCGGAGCTCGGGGTCCCGACGTTTCAGGGCCCCCACGGCACAGGGGTCCTCGAGGAGTTGGTGTGAGCTGGGATCGGTGACTCGTGGGAGCCGTGAGAGTGCAGGTGAGTGACGCGTCCCGTGCCTGGCTCAGTCGCTCCGCGTGAGTCACTCGTGCCTGCCTGCTGTGAGTCGCCCTTCGCCACCCGTGCGTGTGTCCACCACGGGGGCTCTTTGGGTCCGCCCGTGCAGCGGGTGGAGGCGAGGCCGACAAAACTGGAACAGCAGCAGCTGGGCTCGCATTAGCAGCAGCAGCAGTGCGGTGTCAGCCGTGCGTGAGAGGCGAACGTGAGAGGTTAGACTGTCGTGACTGTAACGGCTGTACGGACTGGAGTGACTGCAGTAACGCGTATTGATCCCATACATTAACAGTGGCAGTTGAGTTCTAAAATAATGAACAAGATTTGGGGGGCCATCCCCCTCGCCCCCTTCTATATCCGTGCAGGAGTGCCCCCCACTACTCTGCCCGCTATCCCCCACCTCCTCCCAGAGGGTTCGCCTCCACTCTGTAGGTCGCACGCATTGAATGACCCCGCCCCTCAACCCCCCTACCCCCTCCCCTCAGTACCCCCACGCACGGCAGAGACATTGCAGAATCAACAACAGCAGCGGCTAGCGGCGGTCACAGTGGTATATATCTGTAATAGTTGTTGCAGTGGTATAGTTGTGGCAGTTGTGGTTGTTGCAGTGGTATAGTTGTGGTTGGGCCAGGAGTATTTGCAGTAGTGGTGTAGTTGCGGCAGTGGTAGAGTTGTGGGAGTTGTGGCAGTGGTATAGTTGTGGCAGTAGTATTGAATGCAGTGGTGGTGTTGTGGCAGTGGTGGAGTTATGGCAGCAGTAGCGTTGGCTGAAGTAGAATCAGTACTACCACCGAATCACACTCTATGCATCTGATCTTGGAAGCTAAGCAGCGCTGAGCCTGGTTCGTACTGTGTCAATGGAGCCTGGTTCGTACTGTGTGTGAATGGAGCCTGGTTCGTACTGTGTGTGAATGGAGCCTGGTTCGTACTGTGTGTGAATGGAGCCTGGTTCGTACTGTGTGTGAATGGAGCCTGGTTCGTACTGTGTGTGAATGGAGCCTGGTTCGTACTGTGTGTGAATGGAGCCTGACTCGTACTGTGTGTGAATGGAGCCTGGTTCGTACTGTGTGTGAATGGAGCCTGACTCGTACTGTGTGTGAATGGAGCCTGGTTCGTACTGTGTGTGAATGGAGCCTGGTTCGTACTGTGTGTGAATAGAGCCTGGTTCGTACTGTGTGTGAATGGAGCCTGGTTCGTACTGTGTGTGAATGGAGCCTGGTTCGTACTGTGTGTGAATTGAGCCTGACTCGTACTGTGTGTGAATGGAGCCTGGTTCGTACTGTGTGTGAATGGAGCCTGGTTCGTACTGTGTGTGAATGGAGCCTGGTTCGTACTGTGTGTGAATGGAGCCTGGTTCGTACTGTGTGAATGGAGCCTGGTTCGTACTTTGTGTGAATGGAGCCTGGTTCGTACTGTGTGTGAATGGAGCCTGACTCGTACTGTGTGAATGGAGCCTGGTTCGTACTGTGTGTGAATGGAGCCTGGTCCGTACTGTGTGTGAATGGAGCCTGGTTCGTGCTGTGTCTGAAAGGAGCCTGACTCGTACTGTGTGTGAATGGAGCCTGGTTCGTGCTGTGTGAATGGAGCCTAGCTCGTACTGTGTATGAATGAGACACTGCACTGCAAGATGGCTCGAGAATGGAACTATAGCAATGTATTATTTAATCCATCTTTGTGGAGGTTTGAGGGTATGACCATGTCGCAGTAGAATTATCAGCAGGAGTTTATGTTGAGTATTATTGGAAGTAGTATCATCACAAGGAGCTCATGTGAAGTTGTATATGTGTAGTAAATCCGCAGTAGTTTCAGCAGTAGTATATGTGCAGCAGGATCCAGAGTAGTATCAGCAGCAGGAGTATATGTGTGCTGTCGTAGTATCAGCAGTAGTATCAGCAGTACTATATGCGCAGTAGTATCCGCAGTAGTATCAGCAGGAGTAGTATGTGTAGTAGTATCAGGAGCAGCAGTATCCGCAGCAGTAATTAGAGGAGGCAGGCGGGGTCTCGGTGTCACGGGAGGTGCCGCACCCTGTGGTTCCCATGCGTTTCCTTTCCGACAAAAACAATTTAAGAGTCATCATCATTATCGCGCTCACGTCATCACCATCATCATCTTCGTGGGTTCTTGCCCAGTTTAGCATCATATTCGCAAACTCGCGCAGGTTAGGTGCGAAGGTGTGAAGGTGACGTGTGGGCAAAGGTGTAGAAGTGAAGGTGTGTAGGGGAGGTGGTAAGGTAGGTGAACGGTTGTTGATGGCGTTATGGAGATGTGAGGCGTGGTAAATGTCTGCCGGTGAATGTGTTTGGCTGAAGGTGGAGCGACTGTGTCCATGTGATTGATTGGAGGTGTACAGGTGAGCGTATGCAGGCAAAGGTGCTGTAGGTGACGTGAAGGTTGGTGAATGATTTATCAAGCTGTGTAGCTGACAGTGTCGTGCAGGAGTGTACGTAAACGCATGCTCAGTGTATGCAGATGAAAATGTCCAGGTGAGTGCGCAATGAAGGTGTGCAGGTGAGAAGGTGAATCATTGATGAGGTGTGAAGGTGGACACGTGAGTGCACGATCAAGGTGTGCAAGTGAATACGCAGGGAATGTGTAAAGGTGTGTGGGTGAATGTGGTGCACGCAAGCAGGTCCGTGCGTGTTGAAGACGCGGCGCAGACGAACGTCCTATAAAGGCGTGCGCTTGCAGGTGAATGCGGGCGCGCCACCTGAAGTCGTGCGGGCGTTGCCGGCGTGCAGCTGAGACCGCGTGCGCGCCATACCGCCCCGCAGGGGGCCATGTCCCGCGCGGATCTGAGCGTGGTCCCGGCCTTCTTCTCCATCTCCATCCTGGCGCTCGCCGTTCCGCTCAACCTCGCGTCGCTCGGGCTGCTGTGCACACACAGCCGCCGGCGCCGCTCCCCCACGGCGCTCTTCATGATCAACCTCGCCACCTCTGATCTCCTCTTCCTGCTCAGCCTCGCCTTCCTCGTGCCCTACTACCTGAGCGGCCACACCTGGCGCCTGGGCCGCGTCATGTGCCACGCGGTGACCACGGCGCTCTTCACCACCACCTACACGAGCACGCTGCTGCTCACGGCCATCGCCGCCGACCGCTACGTGGCCATCGTCCACCCGTTCCAGGCCAAGGCGTGGCGCAGGGAAGGCTACGCGGGCTTGGCCTGTGCGGCCATCTGGGTGGCCACCTCCAGTCACCTGGGGGTCCTCAACGTCGTGGACTTCTTGGACGTCGGTGGCGGCGGCCGCAACGACACCAACGGCACGGCGAGGGCAACCTGCTACGAGTCGTTCAGCGACAGGGACTTGCGCTTCGTGTCCTCCTACCGCCTCTACGTGGCGATCGTCTTCTTCTTCCTGCCGCTGCTCGTCACCGCCTTCTGCTATGCGAGCGTCATCAGGAGCCTCTCGAAGCAGGCAGCCGAGCGACGTGGCTCCGCGCAGCGGTCGCGCTCCGTGCGGCTCGTTGCAGCCACCATGGCGGTCTTCCTGCTCTGCTTCGCGCCCTTCAACGTGAGCCACGTCATCGGCTTTGCCAGGACCGAGAACATCTGGTGGCGCCACGTCTCCCTCATCCTCAACTCCCTCAACTGCTGCCTCGACCCCCTCATCTACTATTTCGGCGCGTCCAGGGGATCCGGAAGCTCGGGCGGTGGTACCAGAAAGGGGGTGAACAAGGGGGTGAACGTCCCCCCCAGGATTCGTGAGGAGTCCCAGAGCGCCGTGTGAGGAGCAAGGACCCCCGCGGGGTAGGGTGGTGTGGGGAACTCAACGATGAGGCCATGCCAGGACCCAATGGGGTCCGAGTCACCACGACCTCCGCCCTCCCCCCCTCCCTCTACGAGAACGCATCGGAACCATGGCTCCTCCGATCAGCACGGTTGGCTACGTACGGTGCGAAAGAAGTCCAACATAATACATGGCTGGGAGATATGAAAACTTCTGCACTGACGAGTAGAGCTGCAGACAGTAGCCCCAAGCCTAAACATCTAACACGAACGAAAACCCCAATCTAAAACTTTTAGCCCGAACTACAACAACGCTAACCATATTCTTCTGACATTAACTAGAATCTCGTTACTATTAACCTCTAACCCTGAATTAACCTTACCTTTTAATACCATAATACTAACCCAAAACTAATGCTGACTCTAAGCCACTAACCCTAATCTCAAGCTCAACTCTAACTAATCTTTCCTTAACTCTAACCCCCTAACCCTCTCATTATCTCTATGACAAGTTATTCATGAATTCATCCGCTATTCTTGGCTAGCCCATACACGCAGACTTTGAATACGTGTAAGGAGGCTCCTGCTGGTGCCAGGGACCTCGAGTGTAGCACTTGAAGTCCAGCTGATCGTGCAATGGGCCTAGTTGGCCAGAGGTCATGGGATTGGCTGAAAAGTTTGAAAAGGGGCACCCGTGAGGAGGGGGGAGGGGAAATGAATGGGTCAGAGAAGGTTTGAGGACATGGTGGGGATGGAAGCGGGTTAAAGGGGCAGAGAGGGGGGTCACCGGAGGGCCGTTGGTGTTCGCCCGAGAAGTCTCCGCAAAGCGCGTTGGACTATTCTACATCTGGTGGCAGCGGTGGGATGTCGCCTTCAATCTGCCAAGCGTCAACAGTTCCATTGGGAGACAGGGAGAAGGACGGAGCCGTGGTTACGTCGGGCGGCTTGCGACGAGCCACGACAGGAGATGGGGAGCCAATCTGTCCTCCGCGGACCAGTGCCGCCGTTGTCGAGAAGTCCGCCACCAGTCCGCCGAAGCAGCTGTGTCAAGCGCTACGCCCGCGATGGACAAACCGAGGTGCGAGGCTCTGCCTCGAGTGGGAGAGGAACTTGACAGTTACGGAGCTGCTCGCTACGCTGCTGCAGTAGCAGCGGTAGGCAACAGAGCCCGCGCCACCAGCAACACACTGTGAGTTACAGCAGCTGCCACTGGTAGAAAGTGCCATCGAGGTGGTGGGGCAATCGACGTTGGCCACCCTGTCACCCGGACGAGCCGACCCCGCCACTGCAGTGCTCTCACCAGCCGGCAACCACAGGGGGGAGGGGGGGGGGTGGGGTGTGTGGGGGGGTTGAGGTGGGGTGTGTGGGGGGGGGGAGGTGGGGTGTGTGGGGGGGGGGGGGGATGTCACAACCGACCGGCGGCAACTAGGAGCCAAACCGGAGCAGGGCCAAACCAACCTGCTGGAACCACCCAAGTGGCCCAGGGGCGGCGGGAGACGACGCTGAGGCCACCGGGTCGCTTTGGTTCCAAGCTATGGGTGGCGATTGGGAGGACCTCGTGAAGCAGCGTACACAGCTCTGGACTGGAGGAAGAGGGAAGCTCTAAAAGCGCTGCCGATGGCATTTTTCACCATTGCCTCAGCCAACTGAGCCACCCTGCAAGGAGCATACTGAGGGACTCTGGGAGATGCAAAGTCTCTGTCTGGCATGGTTCACGGACTCCAGGACTGCCAGCCCAACGAGGAACTCTGGAGATGCACAGCCCCTGTCTGGCATGGTTCACGGACTCCAGGACTGCCAGCTCAACGAGGAACTCTGGGAGCTGTAAAGCCCCCGTCTGGCATGGTTCACGGACTCCAGGACTACCAGCCCAACGCGGGACTCTGGAGATGCACAGCCCCCATCTGGCATGGTTCAAGGACTCCAGGACTGCCAGCCCAACGAGGGACTCTGGAGATGTACAGCCCCTGTCTGGCATGGTTCAAGGACTCCAGGACTGCCAGCCCAACAAGGAACTCTGGGAGCTGTACAACCCCCATCTGGCATGGTTCACGGACTCCAGGACTGCCAGCCCAAAGAGGGACTCTGGAGATGTACAGCCCCTGTCTGGCATGGTTCAAGACTCCAGGACTACCAGCCCAACGAGGAACTCTGGGAGATACACAGCCCCCGTCTGGCATGGTTCAAGGACTCCAGAACTGCCGGCCCAACGGAATGACTCCGAGTCAGCCTTGGCGTACTGCAGGACACTGTTGGTGTTGGGTGGAGGCGCCGTTCCACGCTTGGCCCAGGTGGCGCGAGGTTCGTTGGTGGTGGAGCGGCGCTTCATCTTCGCGAGCGTCGTGCTCCCGGCAACGGAAGAAGCTCTACGCGCCTCCACGTGGGTTCCTAGGAATATTCAAGCACACGAGGAGGTGAGTGATGGGGCCGGCCCTGGTGCTGGCGCAGGCAATGGAGGGTGCCGACGGGCTGACGGAAGCAACAACAATGACGGGGACAAAGGCGGCGCCAAACGGCGACATCGCTGCAAGATGTCGTAGCGGCGATCCATGGGCTGCCAATGGCGCACAAGTTTCTTAGCGGGCAACAACCACGCCATCGGACTAACCGAGACCCTGCTGCAACAGCTCGCCCACACGCTGTCACGACCTGCAACCGCCGTGGCCAGTAGGGTCGCATTACAAGCGAGCGCCGGAGCCAACAAGCCGCGACCCCCGACGTGCTCCTCACCTTCCAACTCCTGACACCGACACGATGCAGGCGAGTGGCGGCGTCCTGGACAACCCGGGCAGACTTATCACCCACGTGATCACCGCCCCAATTCACCTCGCACACCGTGGCATCCGTTGGCATCGCTATTACCCCTCGGGCGTTATTTAAAAAAAAACACTACATTCGACCTCTTACCCACTCCGTCCTACCTCAGAGCCTGTCCCACGGCCTGACTCGGCAACGCAGTGGCGTCAACCGGCGAGATGAGTGGTTGGGCTGCTACATCAGGGATGTCGGTTTCGGTCGGGTCGGCGGCGGGCGTTAAAGTGCGCGTATTGATTGGCACGGGTGCTCCAGCCACCATCAGATCCACTCGTAAGTTCCACTTGTTGCCCGAGGAATTTCGCCAGTTGTACCCGATAGGGGGGTACATTATATAGCGGCAAATGGGGGTAGCATGGGGATATTGGGACAGGTGAGAGCTCCGGTGTGTATTGGTGAATCGTCGATAATTTTAGTATCCAACATGCTTCCCATTCCTGAATTGTTGGGTACAGATCTCTGATGTGGTATGCCCATAAAAAAATACCATAGAGTACGTGTGGAGACCCCTTTGGGGAAACACCTCTACTTAAGAGCAGAAGGTGCCGATGCCCCTTGATGCGGACTCTGGTCAGCGAGTCCGTGACCATTCCTTTCCGCAGCCCAGATGTCGGTCCTACTACGTGACCGCAACCCCCTTGTTACCACTCGAGCGGATGCCAATCCCGGTCTCACCAACATCTCTGGTCACAGAGTGGCGCTCGTTGGCAGGGTCGGACACAGTTTTGCTGAACATCAGTTTGTTTGCGCAAGTTCTGAACACGTCAGACAGCTACGAGCACGCAGGCGGGGGCCTACGTAAGACTCCTGTCCACCATGGAATACGATGGCGACTTTGCTCCGATAGGATCGGTAGAACGTCCCTCGGGAAAAATTGACGACTCATGGGTGAACGCTGTCTCAATGGAAAATGTAAATGAGTCAGCCGTTCAGGCTAAGAAACTCCGAACGTTACTACAGAAATGTGCCAATGTCTTTAGTAAAAACAACGTATGCGATTTGGGTCATGCATCCCTTTTGGAACATCACATCGACAAAGGAGATGCGGCATCTCTTCATCAGAATTCTTACAGGACGAGCCCAGTTGCAAACGGTGCAGGAAATGCGGCAAAACGTATTTCACCGTCAAACACGATGCAGTCATTCTGGTCAAGACGTCAGACGGCTCGCTGCTTTCCTGCGTGGATTTCCACCGCATTGACAAGGCCGTCTTACCACCCCCACATATAGACGACTCCTTGGACGCTTTAGCGGGAGCTAATTCTTTAAGCACCGCCAATATTTTGTTGGGTTTTTCACAAGTGCCCCTTGACACCGAGTCCCTCCATAAAACTGCATTGCAAACAGCATCGAGGACTCCGTAAGGGATGTTAAAGTTTAACTGCTTACAGATGGTTCTTCAGACGGTGCCGGCGGCTTTCCGTCTTATGGAATGGTGTTCGTGGGCCTTCACTGGGACACATGCTTCGCGGTGGCGAGATGTTAACTACCTCACCTTGTATACAGGAGACCGTGGGTTTGATCCCGACCCTGTATATTTGGAGTTTGCAAGTTCCCTCCGTGGTCGCGTGGATTTTTTTTCCAGGTCCTCCGGTTTTTCTCTCCACATTTAGAATCAAACGTGCGTTTAGAGTATGTGGCTGCTATAAATTTCCACGTGATAAGTCACTTCGTTGAGCTATCATTTGTGGCCAGGTTGCTTCTGAAAAAGAGCTCTATAGCTAAGTGGGCCTTACCTGGAGGAAAAAAAAACATGGGAAAACATTCAAATTGCAAACATACAGGCTTCAGGGTCAGGATCGAACCCACGACCTCCTGTATGCCATGTGAAGTAGTTAGCATTTCGCCACCGCGGCGCGATGTTAACTACCTCGCCTGGCAAAGTAACAAGGTTTCAACGGCCCGTCTCTAATTATCGCCGGTTTGTGGCGAACTTCGCTACCATTGCTAAAACCTTTTCATGCCCTGTCAGGTTAAATATGAGGGTGCTTTTGGAGGTCTAACTGAAGAGACAGCCTTCCCTACAGCGATGCTCGTCGTTGATGATGGAACCTCCCTTTTCACGTTATCTTTACTTTGCCCTCCCATTCAGCCTGGACACGGACGTCGGTGATGTTGGGATTGCAGCTGTGCGTTCACAGACGCAGCAGGGCCAGGAGATGGGCATCGCGCATGGCAGCAGGCACAGGTTATCGCCAGCAGAACAGCGCTGCGCTGTATTACCACTGCGAGCTGCTGGCTGTTGTTCACTTCATTTAACAGTTACGACCCTACCTGCAGGGCCATAAATTCACAATGCGCACCGACCACGCTGCACTACAATGCTCATTATGAATTGATCAACCATCAGGCCAGCTGGCCAAATGGTTTGAACACCTGCAAGAAGATGCTTACACGGTCGTACACAGGAAAGGTGCACGACACGCTAACGCTGATGCTCTGCGCCTCCGATTAGCACGGTTGGCTATGTACGGTGTGAAAGAAGTGCAACATACATACGTACCGTCTATCCCCACATGTGCCTTGTACATGCATCACGGGTGCACACACAATGCAAAGACAATCTCCCAAAACGAGGCTGCAGCGGCCATTCCCGTGTACGCACTGCCAGGTGATGTGATTACGACTTCAGGCTAATTCGGGCGGCAGACTGGTAGTGGCCACACGTAGAGGAAAACTCCTTGCAGCCACAACGCAGTTCAGTCCGCTGGTGCCGACTGGGGAGAATCGGAAAGCCAGCCATATGTTTTGCGGAATGACTTACTGATTTGTTGGGATGTGTCCACACAGTGTCGCTGCTTCGTGGGAACCGACTCCACTACGCCAGAAGCTATCCGTTGACATACATGCTCAGCAGCGTATGCGCCTCGGAGGACGTGGGATGACACCTGTCTTACAGGGTCGTTATTTTTTGACCGGGTTAGACTGCGGTCGCACATCGATGGGTCGACCCGTGTGCCAGGATTGCACCTGCCACAAACCAGCAGCCCCACGACCACCACGATTAACCATCAGCAGTGTCAGGAAGGGTGAACAGTTTAGTAGCTACGGGCTTGTTGGGGCCTTTTCCCAAGGCGCAAAGTGGAAATCGATTGTTGCTCGTGGGGGTCCAATGCTGCATTCACTGGCCGATGGCTTTGGCCTCTTCCGGGATCAGACTGCTCAGTCCAACGGGTACTTCAGAGATGAGGGCCCTCCGCAAAGACTGTGACTGAACCGGTGCAAGTACGGTCCTGTCACGCGTGTTTTTATAATGCCGATGCGAAGTGGATAAAACGCGATTGAGTGAACAGCCTCAGCGTAGCTACACACAAGACGGATGCTGCTGTATCTTTCTAGAAGCTAAACACGCGCCTCGGTGTTTGTTCAGCCTGCATATGCATCTCACGTGTGTATCGCGGGCTGTGTTTTACCTTTATATTATGTATTATACCGCGATTTTTCCATAACGCGGTGTTCTTCAGGAACGCAACCACCGTGACACAGTAGAACAGAC